CAGTCCGCTACGGTTTTTGAACTGCATGTGACCGAGTCGAGCGCTTTGAGTGCGGCCTGACTGTCTGAGTAGATGAAGATATCGTTATAAATGACTTCTCTTGTACGTAGGTGTTCAACCGCTTCCTGTATGGCAGCGACCTCAGCTTGAAAGACGCTGCAGTGGTTGGGTAAGCGAAAACATATTTCCAGCCCCAGTCGGGCCGAGAAGACCCCCCCTCCTACCTTGCCGTCCAGCTTAGAGCCATCGGTGTAGAGGTGGAGTGATCCATTGTCATCGGGAGCCCCTCCTGACCAGAATTTTCTATCTGGAATGGAAATCCTATACCTCTTTGTGAAGTTCAACCTTGGTGCACAGTAATCCGTGTCCGGTATATTTATGTCCTTTAAGATTGCGGTGTGGCCTTCCTGAGTGTCCCTCCAGCCTGGTAGTTCCCTCAACCTCAAGGCGGCACACCCCGCTGATTGCTTTCCAACAATTTCAATTGGTAAAATATCGAGGAGCACGCACATAGCCTCCGATGGAGTTGTGCGCAGGGCCCCACAGATGCAGAGCATCGCAGTTCTTTGCACCTTTTGGAGTGCTTCTGTTGTAGATTTCCTGTTGAGACTTGGCCACCATACCAAGACCCCATATAATAGAATCGGCCTAACAACTACCGTGTATAACCAATACATGATGCTAGGGGACAGCCCCCAGCTACGCCCAATCGCCCCCTTGCAACTGTAGAGGGCTACCGTCGCTTTTTTAACACGCTCTTGTATATTTTGCGCCCAGTTAAGCTTTTTGTCCAGGACTACGCCTAGATATTTTGCAGACTCCCCTAGCTTCAGAATCTTATTGCCTATGGCAGGGAGCTGAAGTGAGGGGATTTTGTACTTCCTGGTAAAGAGCACCAGGTCCGTTTTTTCTGGGTTAACACCCAGACCTTTTTCCTTGGTCCATCTCTCGATTAACCTTAGTCTGTCCTGCATAATGTCACAAAGAGTTTGTGGAAATTTTCCACTCACAACCACCGCAAGGTCGTCAGCATACGCTATGACCTTGGAGCCTCCCGCCCCTTCCAGGGTCTGCAATAATTCATTAATCGCCATGACCCAAAGAAGGGGGGAGAGGACCCCACCCTGCGGGGTTCCCCTGCAAACGTATCTGTCCAGCGACACGCCCGCCAGTTCCGCCCGCACGACCCTGCCAACTAGCAGCTGTCGTATAAGCGACACCAGCCGTGAGTCGATGTCCAGACCAGTTAGAGCTGATGTGATTGCTTCAGGTGTGATGTTGTTGAACGCACCCTCAATGTCTAAGAATGCTATCAAGGTGTATTCCTTTATCGCAAGGGATTTCTCAATATGCGACACGATTTCGTGTAGCGCTGTTTCGGTGGACTTCCCCTTCATATAGGCATGCTGCGAAGCCATAAGCTTATCTGCAACCGATTCCCTAAGAAAGGATTCAATCAGTCGCTCCAATATCTTGAGCTGGAAGGATGATAGACTGATAGGTCTAAAATCCTTGGCGCGAGTATGGGATGTTTTTCCCGCTTTAGGAATGAAGACAACCTTTGACCTTTGCCAGGTCTCCGGAATGTAGTTGAGAGTGAGGACTCCCTTAAAAATAACATACAGCCATTTAGAGCTTAGCTCCATAGATTGCTGTAGCTGAATCGGTGTAACACCATCTGGACCCGCAGATTTGTAAGGCTTGAAGGACCCTATTGCCCACATCAGTTTTTCTTTGGTGATGAGGTCTACCGTAACCGGTTGACCTCTATTTCTTATTGGCCCGTTCAATGGCTGCTCGGTGGCGCCTGGAAAGTGCGTGCTCAGAAGATGGTCCAGGGATTCCTCCCCAGTTTCCGTCCACGCTCCGTCGGATCTTAGCAAGCATCCCGGGGCGATACGAGGTGAACTAGAGAGAACCTTCCTGAGCCTAGAACCTTCTGATACGGATTCCATACCACTGCAAAAGTTCCTCCATGAGGATCTCTTGCTCTTCCTTAGTAGTTTCTTGTAATCTTTCAAGTTTAACTTATAGATTTCCCATTGCGTATCGCCTCCCGAGGATTTTGCGAGATTGAAGGCTCTACGACAATTTTTGCGGGCCTCGTCAATCTCTGTACTCCACCAAGGTGGTTTCTTTTTGCCTCTCGGCTTTACCATGGGGCAGGCCTGATCCAGAGCCTTGCCACATGCCGCAGTAAAGCGATTTGCCAGCCTATCTAGGTCCCTAGAGTTTCCTGGAATTGCTAGTGTGGTTCTTGAGAGCCGTTTGTCAAGCTCTCTTCTGTACTTATGCCAGTCGGCTTTCCTTAGATTTCTTTTGGCAGGTACCTTGGACGGGACCCCGTCTAAGTCGAATTGGATGAAGCGATGATCAGAGAAGGAATGCTCATCAAGCACCCTCCAGTTCCTGATCATGACCTCCGCATCTTCTGAGACGAGGGTAACATCCAGGACCTCTCTTCTGCTCTTCGTTATGAAGGTAGGCTCGCTACCCCTATTACTTATAACTAAGTTAGATTTTAGTATGAATTCAAAGAGTGACTCACCCCGTTCATTGATGTCTCCACTTCCCCATGTGCTATGGTGTGCATTTGCATCACCTCCTAGAATCAGGGCCCCGTCCCAGCGCTCCACTAAATGTTCGACCGGTAGGGTTGGAACAGGCCTGTCATGTGCCAGATACATCGAGGCAAGCCTTATTTGTCGTCCGTTCGCCTCCAGACTGATGGTGGTGGTGTCCTCGTCACTGAACTGAGGAAGAAACAATATTTTTAGTTTGGTACTAACAAGGATGCAGGCCCTTGGTTTACCTATGGTAGCTCCACTTATCAAAGTGTGCTCTGCCGACTTCAGCCCGCATATTCCATGCCCTATCACCCAAGGCTCCTGGATGAGGGCGATGTCTGCTGCCCCCTTGGAGAGCTGGAGCAGCAGTGCAGCCGACGCTGCTTTGCTGTGGTGGAGATTAATCTGGAGGACGCGAACCATCTTGGCCGCACCTTCCCACCCCCTCCACCACTGTTGAGTTCGCCTCGTCGTCATCTGACATCAGCTCCTCTTCTGTGTATTGCCGGAAGATATGGTCGACACCCAGAGAGGATGTAGATGAGGCGTATCCACCAGCCAGGTCATCCATCGGATTGGCCTGGTTGGATTCCTCGTCCACCTCATCCTCGCTGTTGTCTGCTTCCGGCTCAACTTCGTTGCCTCTTGCTGCGTTCACGTCGTTCGTGTACACCCTTATCTTTGCGGTGTCGAAACCGTAATTGATGACGCCCCCAGTCTTTTCGAGGAGTGGCAACGACTCCTTATTTAGCAAAAGGACCGCCTGACGAGTCGCCTTTGTGCTGTGCTCTAGCCGCACCACCTTCCAATTGTGAGAGGGTAACTCGGGATTAAAGAGCCTTATAATCTCAAGCACTCTCTCTGGTTCGGTCGGTTTGGCCGGTATCCATGCCCTTGCTCTGGGCCTGGATGGGATGTCCTTGAAGTCCACAGCCCGTAGCATCGCTCCGGGGTAGACCTCTCCCAGCATGGCCATCGCCTTCTTGTACATGCCCGCCGACCTTTCATCGTCGCACGCGACGATCTTTACGTTACCTTGGAACCAACCTGCGTCCCGGCATATCGGAGGTGGTCCGGGGTGCTCCCGAAGCACGCTGACGCAGATGTTCGCCAATTCCGCTTTAACCCATTTCCAATGAGCTCTCAGTGCCAATTCGTCTCCCTGGTTCTCATCGAGCACACCCAGGAGGATCCGATTTTTGGCTACCTCAGCAAAGGTGGGGCCTTGCGTCCTGGCTCTTTTCGACTTATTTTGCGCAACCTCCATCGATCTATTGCGCTTTTCCGCAGCTGGTGGCTCTCCGAGCACCGGCAGCTGATAGTCGGGCACTATCGTCATTGCCCACGCTATCTCCGACCGGATCTCTTCCACGTGACAGGGCAGCGCCCTGCTACATAGGTCCGGGGTTAATGCGGATCTCTTCAAGATCCTCATGGCAGCCTTCCTGTGCTTGGCAATGGCTGCGCTTGGTGGTGGCCTGTCATCAGGCCTTGTAAATGCCGTAGGAGTAGGGGGAGGCGGGGCCCGCGCATCAGCTCTGGCGCCCCCTGGGGCTGCAAGCTGCAAGCCAGGTTTGCCTTCACCGGTGCCGGGAAAATCCCGTTTCGGTTCCCCCACCCTCTTCCTTTCCGCTTTTGTGGATACGCCTGACCCCGGCATCGCCAGAGGCTTACGTACCCCACTAGTGCTGGCCACGTCGTGGCTAGTAGAGGGACCCTGCATCGCATGGGCCCCATGGTGTCTGGGCAACTGCCCTTCCGACTTTTTATGAGTGCCGGTCTCAATTTCCGTTTTTGTTGATTTTGGTTTGTTGATTAATTCGCTCATATTCCCACGAGTTGCGGAGAAAGGGTTCGTCGGCCCCGGGCAGAGATCCGCAGTACCCAGGGTAAGGCCATCGAATGCAACCGGGTGCGGCCTGGTTCCCAGAGGGCTCCGTTAGCGACTGGGCTATTTAGGGGCTCCCAGCCAGGCTGATCCTCAGTACGGTACGCGTAACGCCTTGATCCAGCCCCTACCTCCAGACCACGATCAAAGACCATTTCCGTATGGCATAGCGATGAAAACGCATAAGCACACAGCACTGATCCCTGATCTTAGCTGGACACCCTCCCGACATCGCACGGGATTGCTCTGTAGTGCCCATTTCCAGCCGGCACCCTCGCGGAGGGTTCAGTCCGAGGATTTTCGCCGACCGTATTCCGTATTAAGTTGAATTAATTTTTTTAATTACAACTTAAAGCTCGGTTAGTCTAGACTTAATTTCCGTAACTTAACTTAATATTTTGGCTAACCCGTTTTTGGTTTTGTATTTCTGAAAAACAAATTAACG